TTGCGGAACTTTGACCGACAAGAGTGTATTGTGCACTCTGTCGGTCACAATGTCTCATTCTGGGAGACATTGTCACTGCATGTCTCCCAGAATGGAACAATCTTTTGCAATCACTTGTGATTGCGGAACTTTGACCGACAAGAGTGTATTGTGCACTCTTGTCGGTCACAATGTCTCATTCTGGGAGACATTGTCACTGCATGTCTCCCAGAATGGAACAATCTTTCAAACTTGTGATGCGGAACTTTGACCGACAAGAGTGTATTGTGCACTCTTGTCGGTCACAATGTCTCATTCTGGGAGACATTGTCACTGCATGTCTCCCAGAATGGAACAATCTTTTGCATCACTTGTGATGCGGAACTTTGACCGACAAGAGTGTATTGTGCACTCTGTCGGTCACAATGTCTCATTCTGGGAGACATTGTCACTGCATGTCTCCCAGAATGGAACAATCTTTGCAATCACTTGTGATTGCGGAACTTTGACCGACAAGAGTGTATTGTGCACTCTTGTCGGTCGCAATGTCTCATTCTGAGAGACATTGTCACTGCATGTCTCCCAGAATGGAACAATCTTTTGCAATCACTTTGTGATTGCGGAACTTTGACCGACAAGAGTGTATTGTGCACTCTTGTCGGTCACAATGTCTCATTCTGGGAGACATTGTCACTGCATGTCTCCCAGAATGGAACAATCTTTTGCAATCACTTTGTGATGCGGAACTTTGACCGACAAGAGTGTATTGTGCACTCTGTCGGTCACAATGTCTCATTCTGGGAGACATTGTCACTGCATGTCTCCCAGAATGAACAATTCTTCATCACTTGAATGCGGAACTTTGACCGACAAGAGTGTATTGTGCACTCATGTCGGTCACAATGTCTCATTCTGGGAGACATTGTCACTGCATGTCTCCCAGAATGATAGAAAGTTCCGCATTCATAACTTGAATGCGGAACTTTGACCGACAAGAGTGTATTGTGCACTCTGTCGGTCACAATGTCTCATTCTGGGAGACATTGTCACTGCATGTCTCCCAGAATGGAAAATCTTTTGCAATCACTTTGTGATTGCGGAACTTTGACCGACAAGAGTGTATTGTGCACTCTTGTCGGTCACAATGTCTCATTCTGGGAGACATTGTCACTGCATGTCTCCCAGAATGGAACAATTCTTCAAACTTTGATGCGGAACTTTGACCGACAAGAGTGTATTGTGCACTCTTGTCGGTCGCAATGTCTCATTCTGGGAGACATTGTCACTGCATGTCTCCCAGAATGGAAAATTCGCATTCACTTTGTGATGCGGAACTTTGACCGACAAGAGTGTATTGTGCACTCTTGTCGGTCACAATGTCTCATTCTGGGAGACATTGTCACTGCATGTCTCCCAGAATGAAAAATTCCATTCAATCACTTGATTGCGGAACTTTGACCGACAAGAGTGTATTGTGCACTCTTGTCGGTCACAATGTCTCATTCTGGAGACATTGTCACTGCATGTCTCCCAGAATGGAACAATCTTTTGCATCACTTTGTGATTGCGGAACTTTGACCGACAAGAGTGTATTGTGCACTCTTGTCGGTCACAATGTCTCATTCTGGGAGACATTGTCACTGCATGTCTCCCAGAATGGAACAATCTTTTGCAATCACTTTGATGCGGAACTTTGACCGACAAGAGTGTATTGTGCACTCTGTGTCGGTCACAATGTCTCATTCTGGGAGACATTGTCACTGCATGTCTCCCAGAATGATAGAAGTTCCGCATTCATAACTTGAATGCGGAACTTTGACCGACAAGAGTGTATTGTGCACTCTGTCGGTCACATGTCTCATTCTGGGAGACATTGTCACTGCATGTCTCCCAGAATGGAACAATTCTTTTGCAATCACTTTGTGATTGCGGAACTTTGACCGACAAGAGTGTATTGTGCACTCTGTCGGTCACAATGTCTCATTCT